AAAAATAGATTTTATTTATGGAGGATAAGAACAAGGGTACAAATAGTGTGTGACAGTCAGCGCTGCTGTCGTTCCTTCGGCCTTTCTTCTGTAGTTGTATATCATGAAAAAAATATCAGCAGGTTTCAATTATAGTTGGTGGATCCTCATCCGAGTTCCTCTAGTGTCGTCATCTTATTAGGGTCAATACTGGCGACTTGTTTTTACTATTAACTGTGCGACTGGTCATGAATAATGTTGAGTTTGCATCTGTGTGTGTCGATTGTGTGTGTCCGCCGTGTGTTTGATTTGTGTGTGTTGATCCACACAAGCCTGCCTTCTCACGAATTAATTGATCCAGGAGTATTTTCAATGTGATAACACATGACTGACCACAGAAAACTTGAGTCTGCTAAGACATTCTAGTGAGATTGGTACAAGCACACAAACAAGGCAACATGCACAGTCCAGACTCAGTCAAGTCAGTCCCAGCAATTCCTTCACATTGTTCTTGTCACTTATTATCACACACACACACAACATTGTACACCCACAACACACCACATCTACACTTCTAAAATCCTAACAACACTCCAACACAACAGCACACACAAACCAAACATAAACACCAAGGTCACCAATTAACTTGGGAAAATGTTTTGGCATATGTTTCGAAACACATACTGATACTATTTAACCACACAGAAAGGCGAACTTTTTGTGTTGAATTTGGAAGCCTATAGACCCCACTCAAGTTGGTTTGAAAGAAAGTAGTTTGCTAGTTGTAAGAGTCTCAGCTTCCTGTCTGCCCAGTTGTCCTTTTGTTGTTGGCTGAAGATAACACTATCTGGTTCAGCGCGGACACACACCACCACACATTTCATTTCCATTGTGGTTATTCTTCCTTGCTCCTTCCCTCTTAAAATGTCCCTACACCAATATGTCTGACCTCTGATTAGCCATGGGAACATGCAAACTCACACATAGGTCAGTGTTATATGACCATATTTTTTAATAAATTGCAACATTTTCCTAAACCATACATTTGCCCTTGCAGCCTGGGTCTCATACATGGTGTACAGTGCTGGTGTAACTATGACATTGAACCTCCACCATTTTTCTCTATGAGGCTGTGTCCTTTGTATTTACTTCTCAAGTGGCTGACTTGCTTTTTCAGGCTAATATTGTTCTCGACCATATATAACTAGTTACTTAAGTGTGGCAGCTCGGGAATACTCAGTCCTCTTCTGCTGCACTACCTACACACACAACACTATTTGTATCTATAATGTATATCGGCGACCTCCCACGAATATCCACGCGAAACAGTAGCAATTGACCACACGCACCAGTTTCCTTGGCTTAGTACATCCACGTGTCTCTCTAGTATACACATAAATCATAGGATACACCAGCGATAAATGTCTTTCAGAGATATGAAAACCTGATACTAGACAAATGCACTTCTACCTGGTATCCCCAACTTACAGGAATTCATGTTTATGTGTTCAGCTTGATATTCTCTTCAAACCAACCAAACACACCCTCGTGTTGCTTTGCATCAACCGACAATGGCTAAGTCTGGTATTATAGAGTCCAGATCAAACACTCGTAGATTATATTTTATTTGGCCAGCAGATTTGACCAAACTAAAATCCAGCTGTATTCCCAGTCGTGTGTGTCACATCTTCCTTCGTGAAGTAATTCCTCTGTTATTTCTCTAGGCTCCTTCCAGATGCATTTTCACTCACCGCCTGATGAGTTTCCTGACAGAGCGACACCTAAGCACAAGAGCTAAAAGCAAGAGTCTGAAGATGTGCAGAAGATTATTCAAGAACTAAGCAGCCACTAAGTTAGCACAGAACAAGACAGAGGCCACTGCGCCAAAGAGAAACCAAAATGTCGCACGCGCGCGCTCACTCAGACGTTGGTCGCTATATGCTGCAAAACCATGTTTCTCCTATATCTCGACTCTCATCGGTTTTACTATACATTCGTTCACCAATTACACTACGAACTTCACTCTGTGGCGTAATCATCATCCTCGATACTATATTAATTTGCAACTGCAGGGGCAATGAGCATCTGTGGTAGTAACGCTCCGGATGCTACATGTTGTAGATAGTTATTGTCCTCTCACTGAAAGGAGATTCATCCGATTTCCACACACACACAGACAAGACTGACACTCAAAGTGGACGTGGGAAGAACTGGTGAAGAAAAAAGTCTCTGCGCGCTTGATGGCTGTCAGTCTGGGTGGATGGATGGTGGACAGACGGAGGAGCAGAAGCAGTCAGACCGCCTTTAATCCACGAGATTGCACATTGCAGGCACAAAATAGCAGAATACTGGAAGCCAAGAATAGAGTAGAAATAGAAGGCAGAACACCATATTAGATGCGACAGATGAATAGTAAACCACATAATTCCTGAGCAACTGACTGACAGTTTAAACCTCCGAACTGAGGCTGCAGGTCAACTAAATCCTATTATCACTTCCCATCTCTTTAGCACTTATTCAAGACTGGTGACTCTAATTGAATAAAACTTGAAGAATTCTAACTGACTGAGCAGAAAAACCGTATAAACTACTGATCGCCATAGGTCCAGTGATGACTGTCAATGTTCAAGCAATACCAACCAGCTGTTTAGTATCAAGTGGAAGATGCCTAAACCCACTTGTCCTTGCTCCCATCCTCATTAACTCTCTTTGGCCGAGCGTCGTGGAATGTGAATTTGAGCAGAATTCTACGATATCATGCATAGAGACTGGAGGAGAGTAAGAGACGCCAGTGGTGGTGGGGGAGGGGCGTATGTTGCTCCAGACAACTATACATGCAGATTAGGCAGCTATCTCATTTAATCTCAAGCTCTGCCCCCACCGCTATGCAAACGCACTCTTCTTCGTCTTCGCACATCCTCCTTATCAGTTTTTGAGTTTTGCTAGCCCTTTTCTCAGGATCTTATATTCGCTCCACAGGGCGCATACAGTTTCAGCCGCGCCATCTTTCCTGTCACTCACACTTGTATGTGCTTTATGTAATCCTGCCGCGTGCTCAATACGCCGAATGGTCGCACTCCACACTTTTACAGACAAGACCAGTCAGCTCACACACACACACCACACACAAGGATCCATCGTTAATAAGATAGACGTTAAGCCGACTAAAGGGTACACACATGCAAAATTGAAATGATGGGAGAAGAAAGGCGCGCGAGGAAGCAGGCGCACTCTCTAGCAGCACCAAACACTCATCCCTACCTTACACATAGGACACTCACCAACGCAACACACCTGAAGTGTGCACACACGCACACGCACTACGCCACAACACACATACACACACACACACCACACCAGACCCAAATTCTCAAAGCAGCAGCAGCCAGAGTATAAGTCATAAACATGCTTCATAACATGACTAGCCTATGTTGGTTGGGGTTACGTTCTGATAGCTTAAGGATGACGGGAATTCGAACTTAAATGTATAGATTTTCAACCACA